TGGCAATCTGTAGATCGGCAAAAAGTGGTAACAGTGGAACAGATTACGGAGCCGAGCTGACGTCACTTCCGGAGGAAGTCCAAAATACGAATGACGCGAGCCTGGCATGTGTTCATAGTATTGCTCTCACGTCTGTTCAGCTTATCATTGATACCATGGATACGTAGATGTTGATACCATGGATACGTACATGTTGATACCAAGCGGACACGGTAGCAGATTTGGAATAAATATGAATCTCACACTACTAGCATATTCAAAAATCGAAATCTGATGTAAATATCTTTCAATTGTTTCCACCATGCCATTGTCATGTCGTTCATCTATCCCTTGTAGATATACAGGTATTGTAGGCATGAAGTACATATAAGAAAAAATGTATTTACTATAGGCCACTATACAGGAAACATATCTGCAAAACACATAAATTGTGCTTATTGCATGCAAAATCATTGAAATATGTCTTACTTGACTATAGTCTTGTCTTTGTCATTAATATTTACAGTAATTCTAATAGAATAAATACAGCATTTATAAATATAACTGCAAACAATGATCAGGGTGGTTCCAAGTAACAATTATAAATATTTAAAGCGAGGGAGTCGTTACCTGCGCATGCGTCAGGTGGCCACAGCGTTTCATTGTTTACAAACAAGCGTCTACCCATGAGCCTTTGCGTTTTTAGCGTGTGTTGTTATCGTCGCTTGGGACTCAATTCCCGCGCGTGCGCAGGTGACGACCCTCCCGCTTTAACGAAAAAAAATACTATAATATATGACCACTTGATGTTTGGGTCATATATCTTGTCCGACAACACAATTATAGCACCAGTTGCATTTCCCCATCTACAACAGTTCTTAAGATATTACTGCTTGATACATTATAGTTATGCATAATAAGGGCACATGCAACTATTTAACTATATATAATGAGATATTGCTAACATCATACACATGTGTTAGAAGATTGGTGCATAGTGAGTGTTACATTTGCATAAATCTAAATGGGTAATGAGATATTGCTAACATCATACCTCTATGCGTTAGTGGATTGGTGCATAGTGAGTGTTACATTTGCATAAATCTAAATGGGTAATGATATATTGCAAACATCGTACATAGGCGTTAGTGGATTGGTGCATAGCGAGTGTTACATTTGCATAAATCTAAATAGTAATACTATTTTGCTAACATCATACATAGGCGTTAGTGGATTGGTGCGTAGTTAGTGACACATTTGCACAAATCTAAATGGGTAATGAGATATTGCTAACATTGAACTTATGTGTTAGCGGATTGAGGCATAGTGAGTGTTACATTTGCATAAATCTAAATGGGTCATGAGATATTGCTAACATTGAACTTATGTGTTAGCGGATTGAGGCATAGTGAGTGTTACATTTGCATAAATCTAAATGGGTCATGAGATATTGCTAACATTGAACTTATGTGTTAGCGGATTGAGGCATAGTGAGTGTTACATTTGCATAAATCTAAATGGGTCATGAGATATTGCTAACATTGAACTTATGTGTTAGCGGATTGAGGCATAGTGAGTGTTACATTTGCATAAATCTAAATGGGTCATGAGATATTGCTAACATTGAACTTATGTGTTAGCGGATTGAGGCATAGTGAGTGTTACATTTGCATAAATCTAAATGGGTCATGAGATATTGCTAACATTGAACTTATGTGTTAGCGGATTGAGGCATAGTGAGTGTTAAATTTGCATAAATCTAAATGGTAATGATATATTGCAAACATCATACCTAGGCGTTAGTGGATTGATGCATGGAGAGTGTTACATTTGCATAAATCTAAATGGGTAATGATATATTGCAAACATCAATCCTTGGCATTAGTGGATTGATGCATGGAGAGTGGTAAATTTACATAAATCTAAATGGGTAATAAGATATTGCTAACATCGTACATAGGCGTTAGTGGATTGGTGCATAGTGAGTGTTACATTTGCATAAATCTAAATGGGTAATGATATATTGCTAACATTGTACATAGGCGTTGGTCAATTGGTGCTTAGAGCGTGCTACCTTTGCATAAATCTAAATGGGTCATGAGATATTGTTAACATCATACCTAGACGTTTGTGGATTGGTGCATAGTGAGTGTTACTTTTGCATAAATCCAAATGGGTAATGATATATTGCTAACATCAAACCTAGACGTTTGTGGATTGGTGCATAGTGAGTGTTACTTTTGCATAAATCTAAATGGTAATGATATATTGTTAACATCATACCTATGTGTTAGTGGTTTGGTGCATAGAGTGTTACCTTTGCATAAATCTAAATGGGTCATGAGATATTGCTGACACATCTGCACATCGACACTGATCTTGTTGGTTGAGATAGCTGTTTTGTTGTAGTATACAGCCTAAGATATGCGACATGAATACATTTTTGCGCATACGATATGAATACACCTTTGAGACCATGTTATTATTGCTAATGGAGTATGCCAACCAAACAGATATTGATCTATGGGTAGATAAACCAATCAGAAATCATGTTGTTTAAATGATATGCGACCAATCAGAAATTGCGTTATTTCTCAGGTATGTGAACCAATGAAACACTGGCTTGTAAATACGTTCAAGTAGTTCTGAATAAATTAGAATAAACTTTCTGCATGTCAACATTTTCCAGTATTTATACACCATATTTGTCAGGATATTTACATCAAAAAACTTGTACACAATAATAGTTTTATTATTGTTTATTATACTGCCCTCTATAGTTACACAAGAGAAATAGCCTGGTTTATTACCTATGCTCAAAAAAGGAAATACATAAAACCAAAATTAAATTAAAAAAATAATTCCATGCGCCTAAGCTTTCTCCTCATTTTCCACACTATCTGATTCATCCAGTTTTCTTTTGAAATATTCATAGAGTGCGAGTTTGCGGTCGTAATATGCCTTACGAGTAACGGATCTTATTTCCATTTCACGCTTACTGAGTTTGATGATTTTACTCGGAGGTAACCTGTAGGTGAGACCAAGCTCTTTTAGAATGAACTCAAAACGCTCATAGTTGCTACGTCTCAGATACCCAAGAAGTATGTTTCTTCGATCAATTGCTGCAAGCAGACGCCGTTTGTTTTTCATATCCTGGAAAAAAAGGAGTAAGCAAGGATTAAAATAAGAATGGTAACAGAGCCCCCAAATGTCAATGATGAGATGGGACTAGGAAAGAACAGAACTTAAAAATAAATTTTGAAGTTTTTGCATTAAAAATAACCAATAAGCAGTCAAAGTGCTTGATATGTAATGTAAGTAAATCGCACATGTTGTTGCCATGTTGTTTCAAGTGTAACGGCATCTAGTAAATGTGTAGTCTTCATAAGTGTGGCTGTTACACTCGAAGCAAGACGGCTACGAGGTGTGATTAACGACATATTTATTTTATTTATGCCTATCGTCCCTCCTGGGACATAGGCCACCAAGAAGATTTCTCCAATCAGGCCGGTCTTGTGCCACTCCTGAGCGCTCCACTTCCCTCCAGGTATAGCCCAACCTCCGAACATCAGCCTCTAGGTCTCGTCGCCAGGCATTTCTTGGACATCAGCCTCTAGGTCTCGTCGCCAGGTATTTCTTGGACGGCCCCGTTTCGTTTTGCCCCGTGGGCTCCAGCTGAGTGCCGACCTTGTGATGTTTTGAGTTGGTTTTCGAAGGGTGTGTCCTAACGACATATACCGAACACCAACCGCCGTTGATGTTCAGTGAAAATGGTAATTATCAAACACAGATTCTGTCATTCTCTCATAATATAACAGGTTTTACACCACAATCTACACAACACATCTACATTTTCCATAAGTATGATTATGTATATTTGACCTTGCCATTTGTGGATAACAAACATTTGGAAAATCATAGAAAAAACAACACAATCCTCACCAGAAGCAGAACTAGAAACAACCAAATTTTTTATTCATGGATGTTTAAAACTACCAGTGACGCGATGAATGTCATTCCAGTAGTGTTTCAATGATATTTCAGTTCATAAGTTGTTCTGACATACTGACAATAAAACAATATCTCGGTTACAATCAATTCATTAACATAGACATGAGCCATATGTAAATGACTTTCAGGAAATAATTTTACCTTTTTGTTTGCCTTCAGGTGATTTGATAAATTACGAATTTCAAGTGTGAGATAAGCAACTGAAAAAAATGAAAATGACAAAAATATTTAGAATTTTTTACAGATTGGCAATGGTTTGGTGAAATGTTTGGTCAAGAGTTAATGCCATACATCAACATTGGTTAGAGTTATATAC